TTTGGCGACTAGTGTAAAACTTAAAAAGGTTTTTTTTCTCACGTGCATTCAGTTGAACTGAAATTTTATATACATGATTGTTTTAGACAAAGATACTTTAATGATAATTAAAAAATTAATTTACCCTTATAATGTTGTGATTCTGCCCTATGTATATACATATTTATATTAATTTTGTGACTATTTAAAAAAAAGTAGCTAAAAAAAAATTTTTTCTTTTTGTTGACCCTAAAGGGTGGTGGGGGGGGATTGACTTAAAAAAAAATTTTTTTATATTACGGGTTTTTCCCATTTTTAAATTTAATTTTCCTTATCATTGCATTTTTTACAACTATCTATTGACAAAAAAATATTAATCAAAATATTTCGTTTGGTATTGAAATCTGACATAGTATTTGAACTTTGTAATCTGAATTTCATTGTTTTTTTTCACCCTAAACAGGCAAAAGGAATATCTTCACGACAATAAGATATATCTCCATCTAGTAACTTTTCTGCCTTCATCCATCTCAGTCGGATACATGGTATCTTCCAAGTGCGTATCCAAGTGAAAGGGTTGTGAACTTTGATGTTAACTGGTTTTAAGCATGTCCTGCTCACGTGGTTGTTTTGAAGACAGCGCGAGTTGCCAAAATGGGTTTTAAGAGTTTTGCCTTTCATAGATGGATTAAGTAGTTTTTTGAAGTCTTATCACTTCGTGTGTGTGCGTCATTATTTGTATCCGATTCTTTGACGTTTTCAAACACGTGAGCGGTTACTTGGAACAGCAGAACATTCTTCTAAATTCCTGACTGATAACATTCCTTAAATGTATCAAATTTACATCGCTTACGAGAAGAAATATTTTTACATGATGTTTGGATGTAAAATATACTGTGAAAATCATTTAACACGAAACAGACAAAACAGAGAGGACTGAAATATTTTTTTGTGTGTGTTAAAAGAGTTTCGTATTAAAGCATATTGCAATGCATAGTCGAACCTCTATATTGCGAATTTTTTCCAGGAACCTTGCACATTTCACGATTTTCTTTCTAAAATAACCTCTCTATAGCGAAGTGCATTTTCTATACAACGAACTTTTTCTTCTGTGATTCAATTTTTGTTCTCCCCTTTTTTTTAAAGTATTTCTGAAAAATAATTTCAATTTATTCTCTCTTTAAAACATTTTATGGTGGTCATAAATCTTGAACTGGTTTTATTAGATTCTAACTCGCCGAGAGCAATAGAGTTCTGGACGTTTCATCCAAGAAGTGAAACCTTTAAGCCCCAATGCCCAATTCACTAGAAACATCTTCGATATCCTCTTTCAACCTCAGTGGAGTTAGTTGTCCTATGTTCTTTTTATAAAATAATGTGTGTTCAATATTACTTGTATGCTTTAAATTAGAAAATGTCCTTAAAATTCATTAATTTTAGTATAAAATTATTTTCTTAATATTGAAAATACAGTGAATTCTTCGACATTCTTTTTTCTTGTTTTCCTTGTAGATTTTCTTTCTTTTTTGATGGGTAAGATATATAAAATAAACATATATTAATTTTAAAAAGGTGTGAATAATTACTATTTTTAGTATATATACAGTGTTTATGAATTTAAAATTTGTTTTATGTGGTTTATAGTGTATTCACAGATAAACCTCTACATAACGAATTTTCCATATAACGAACTTTTTTCCGGGATTTAGCGACTTCGTTATATAGAGGTCCGACTATATATATATATATATATATATATATATTGAGTAAAATACATTTAACGCGAAAACGTTTAAGGCGAAATATCGATTAACGCGAAATAATACAATAGTCCCGACAAACTACTAAGTACTTTCATGCATTTTTTTCTCTTAACACGAAAATATTTTCTTTCTGGGAATGAACAAAATACGGAAAACCTTAGCCGGATTGGAAAGCCCTACTGTATCATCAGAATTCAGTGCAGTGAATGATAATGAGTGTACAACGCCAAATGTGGCAGACAAACACATTTTGGAGTTTGTGCAAAGCTCAAAAAATATCATTGATGCAGATTTCAAAGACGAAAATGGAATGAATAATGCAGATCTTGTTCCCACGTTATCCAAAATAAGAAACATCATGGAAAATATGCGCAATTGTTTAGACGCTTTTATTCCAATAGTGAAATGAACAACAAAATGGACGACATCGAGCAATTTTTTGACAATTTGATGCTAAAAAAGATAATGTAAAAAAAAAATCAGATTATATACTTTCCCAAAACTTAATAAATCATTTGTTTTTCAAAGCACTTGAAAATTTTGTCTTAAATTTCATTAAGGTAAAGTGAATGTTTCTGCTTCTTTGATTTTTATTAAATGCATGCATATATATACATATCTATGTAAATAAAATATACTCTAATAAACTTAATTTTGCGGAAATATATTTTTTTTCAATTCCTACAATTAGGGGGCAATCTCCATATATATATATATCTTGTTTGAATGTCAATCGTTAATAAAATACTTTCTATATTCATCCATTCCAGTTCAAATACATTTTTAAACTTGTAGTGGATGACACTTGATGTTAATGCAGTTCTTTCAAATATTTTTTTAATTCATTAATTAAATTAAAAAATGAATAAATAGTAACAAACAAAAGTAATAGTCCAACAGCATATATAGAAAGGAAAGTCATTCGTAATGTCCCTGTTGGACAATGGATAGCGCGTTGGACTTCGAATCCAAAGGTCGTGGGTTCGAAACCCACCTGAGATGGCCTAATTTCTGATAATGTGGTTTGTTTTTACTATACTATTTTATTGGAATAATTAAATTTAATTAATGAATAAATTGTAACAAACAAACAAAAAATTGTCCAACACCCTATATAGAAAGGAAAATTGCATGGAAAATCGCTTTCTATTTTGCCACTTAATATTGTGATTCTGTCATATGTATGTACATATTTACATTAGTTGAAACTTTTTAATAAAAAGTAACTAAAATAGAATTTTTCTTTGTTGACTTGAATTTTTTATTTTATATTACTTGTTTGTAATATCGTTTAACACGAAAAAATATTTCAGTCACGAAAAGTTCATCACTTTATTGGCTTTCGATATCATTATTTTCAATGATTAGTCTTGTTTATGAGTAAATGGCTAATAATTGTCTCAAAAAAATTTCAGGCAAGGTAAAAACAGATTTTCCTGAGATACTGCTTATAAAAAAAGGAGTGTACTTTATACGTTGATTTTTTGTTCAATTATCGATGCTAAACAGTATATAGAAAATTAAACAAAAAATTTAAATATGCTACATCGAGATTATTTTTACATAGCAATTGTTTTAGCCATATTAAAAATATTTTTCACATTTTAAGAGGAATTCAAATACTAGTAAGTACAATAAATAAAATTTTAAAAATTTTAAAAAGTACAAAAATTTTTATTGTTTCTTTTTTACAGGTATCTAACTACGTTCGGAATGGTGATTTTGCAAAAGCATGTAAATAAACAATTAGTAAAATATTTAGTGTGACTTGAATTAGAATGTACATATAAAATTGTTTTAAGAATATTATTACAATAAAAAATTATTTAAATGAAAATTTATAGCAAAAATAAAGAAAATATGACATTTTCAAAAATTTCTTTTATTAAAGATTATTCAATAATAATATTTTGCACATATTTAACTAAAACTTCTGTACAGAGCCTCAATTAGCATTTTTGAAATATGCATATGAAATTTCCGGTGGTCGAGTGGTAGCGTATCACGCTTCCACACCTCAGGTCCGGGTTTTATTCCCGGGCTGGGCAAGGTCGACTCAACCTTTCATCCCTACTGCAGCGAGTCGATAAATGAGTACCAAGCTTGCTTGGCGACTTAAATACTGGAGGTCCCATTTCAGACTAACCACCTGATCGGGACATCTACTCATGCACCTCAGCGCCTAATGGTCACTTATACTGGGATGGGCACAGTAGGCCCTGGCTCTCATGGGCTGCTGCGCCACTGAGTTAAATATGCATCAAATTTAGAAGTGGATTTATATTCATATTTTAATATATCAGAAAGTAGAGAAATTGTAACAAAAATTACACTGAATAATATATCCATTGATAGTAACTCTGAAAATAATATGAAAGCTTAAAAAATTCTAGTTTAGGCTCTTTAGAGAAGTCCTAGCAACATATTGGGAAAATATTATTATTTTAGAAGTATTTTTCATTGAAGGAGAATGTTTTACAAACATGTAACACATTCACATGTGTTTTACAAACTTCATTTCCCCCCTTCCCCCAAAAAAATTACATTTCAATATTTTTTTAGTGTAATAATATTTTTAAAACAATATTATATGTATATCCTAATTTGAGTGACACTAAACGTTAATTACTCATTTATACTCTTTAGCAGAATCACATAATTAGTAATCTTAAGAATAATGATATGTTAATTTTTTCAAAAGAAAAAAATAGGTAAAACAATTGTCCTATCAACTTCTAAAATAGATAATTACGAGTAAAAACACATTGAGTGGTGATGCTTCATATTCCAAAAATTACCAAATATAACGCGGATTTAGTTCTCGCAAAAGGCTACAAAGAAACTCTTTAATGTCAAAGAAATTCCTTCGCATTATATGAGCGGAAATTTTATTGGGTTTAGTCACAGTAAACAGGAAATGTTCAATTGCTCTTTTTCCGGTTTATATGAGCAATTATTCCCTTTCTCTGTACTGTATTCTGACTTAGTGTTTCCTAAACAATGATCATTAGAAGCTTAGCGATTCACGCGAAAAAAAAATGTTTTTCGGGGGTCCATAGAGTGAATTAACATTTTCATGATATATAAAATAATTTATTAACAATAAAATAAACTTATGCCTCCAAAAAGTTCAGAAATGACCCGGTTAAAGATACTCAAATTTTCTTTTTTAAAAAAATCCTTCTAAACCGTCATTAACTCTCTTCTCTCTCTTGCAATTAACCCCAAAAAAATAATCTTAACTATGATTAAATTCTTTTGCTATATTAACGGACATTTTATTTGTCACATATACACGCATATTTTTTTAAAATCAACTTTGAATAACGGGTAGGGAGAATTTCTATTCATTGAAGAAATCCTTTTAACACCAATAGATGCAAAAAAAGAGATATATTCAGGGTTTCAAACCGTAATTTTTTTCGTTCCGGTTCAACTAAATAAATAATTTACCGGTGTACGAGTATTTGAAAAAGTATGCTATGTACTGCCTACTTAAAAGGGGTCACAGGTGGGGCCTACTTTTCTATACCGCGGTCACTAAAACGACTGAGAATCCTTGTTCTAACATCTAACCATTGGAGCATTTTGGAACAAAGTAGATAACGTACTCCCTCACACACAGCGGGGGTGGGCAAACCGACGGATGCCAAGTACGGTTTGAGGTTCAAAATCTAACCTTGTACGGTGCCCCTAATACTCTCCGTTACGCCACTGATGGAATATATATTTATTTCATGTACAAACCATTTAACTACACTAATATTTCTTAACCCCTTGAGCACCATGTAACCACTAGTGGATATATGTATGTATACGGGGAAATCCCATTGTACCTTCATCTGGAAACATTTTATGGAGATGTACAACCAGTAACCTGCACAGGAAACATTATAAGGTAGATTTTCTATTGGGATTGTATAAAATTACAAAAGCAAGTTACAAAATGTCTCGGTTACAAAAATTTGAAAAAATAGGGAAATTAGAATTAAAGGTACAAATCTTTGTAAATGCCTCGAAATGTTTCTTGGAACAAAAGGCTTTTCTACATGCGTTACACATGTGTTTTGTCAATTTTGTGCCATTTCTTCATCTTTTCATCCCAAATAGATAAATCCGTATCAGAGTCACTGTCGTATTCATCGGTTTCTTATGAATGTTATGATTCAGTATCCTTTCGTTGAAATCCAACGACAATACCATATAAGCAAGAAAAGTTAAAATAAACAACAAAAAGAGTTATAAAAACTTTAGAAAGTGAAACGAAACACGAACAAATGTGCGTCTTATTCAGAACCAGTGGCGTAATTGAAAACATCTGCCCCAAGTTATATTTTACAAAGGGTAGGTACTTGGTGGCAGTCAGGCTTTCGGTCCCCTAGAGCCCTGACCCCCCCTTCACGATGCGGGGGCGTACACGCTACTGTTCAGAATCGAAAGGAAAAATGAAATGTGTGCGTCGTAACGTCAAGGTCAGTATCCCCAGAAATCTGGGATTTCTGTGGATGCTAGAAAACGCAGTCTGATGTGGCAAGGGGTTAGACCACAAATATAAAATACTTTTTAAAAAGAGACAGCAAAAATATAATAAAAATTTGGTAGCAGTCGACAAAAAAAATCCCCAAATATGTTTCAAACAACCTTTTCTTTTCAAACATGTTTTTCTTTCTTTTGAATAAATAAGACAGCTACTAATACATAACACTCAAAAATCACATTTTATGCACCGACTCTCAACTTCCAGGTCTCATAAAAACCCAAAAGAATAGCGAAAGTAAATGAAGAAAACGAGCGGGAAAAGTACGGACATCCCATTGGAGGCCTCTGTCACACTGTTTGCAATTGAATCACACGATCCACTCTCATCTGAACTTGGCCTCAAGCCATGTTTCCTATGCCTTGAACCGGAAACTACCAGATCGGCAGTCCTGTGATTGAGGCCCATCGAAAGGCCCCAAGGTTACAAAGGAGTGCTAGCGAACTTGGGAGATACGTAACATTTTACACCTGCCATTCTAGTTGAAAGTAAAATCCTTGAATTATATGGTCTCTTCCGTTACAAACAATAAGTTCTCTTTCCGAATGATAAAAACTTAAAACACCTCCGCAGAAAAAAAGTCATTTTAGATTTGAATGAAGTCGTAACGTGACAGTATTGAACCCAAAAAATTTATTTTTATATTACTTAATCAATCCGTTTGAACCAAACTAATTTTTACTTCATACATGTGACGTTTGAGATAAATGAGGGTAGCGTGACAGTGAGTAATTTAAATATTTAGTTCATTTTCATCACAGCTATTATTTACAGATTACACATTGAAGTTATTAAACTTATTAAAGAGATTACTAGAGTTCAAATGTTTGTGAGGGAGGAGTTTTTCTCGGTGTCCGTTCGTAGAGAAGTTCTCAGACCATCTCCCTTTCTCTTTCTCTGCCCTCTCTAGCTTTGGGGATGACAGATGGCGGCAATTTAACTTCCAGTTACATTCGGCTAGAGGGGGAAAGGGATCCCTCGTGGTGTCAAAGGTTATCTGGGCGATCAAGGCAAGTCCGCGCAATAATTTCATAGTCCCAGGTGCTAATGCACGTGTAAGTGATTCACAAAGAAGCCGATTCACAGGTGTGTGGTGGGAATCGTTACAATGCAATACTTTACATTCACCTGCATCTGAACATAAAATTATAGGGAACTATATTGCATACAGATGAAAAGTTGGGTAACCATTGATTGTTTTTACTTTTCAATAGACATTGTAGTAAATGGATTTGTTTCATAACCACGCACAAGCGACAGAATATTGATATTGAAGCCAATTTCCATTAAAAAAGAATATTACCAAACTGAGTTCTATTGCTAAACAATAGGTGAAACCATGTTTGAATATTAGTGTAGATCACGGATATATGGAGGGAAAAAAAATTTTTAATCAAACCCTTTCCTATGGGAAAAATGCCTAAGGAGGGGTTCTTAAACTCACAAGTGAGTGAATATTAACGTC